CAAGAGCATTATTATTTTTTATTGGCCATAATTTTTTTCTTGCAATTATAAATTATTAAATGTCAATATATATATATATATATATATATATATTCAAATTAGGCTTTCGCAGTATTTTTATTTACTACAGCAGTTTAAACACCTACGAAATAATATATATATAGTCAAACTGAGCGTCTCGGAAATACAAACCCAACGACATCAAACTCAACTTGATCCAAGCCTAAATGAGCCCAAATCAAGCGCCCGAAGTGTTGTTGGAAAGCTCGTACCACAATTTGAGTTAACAAACGGTCTTCGATTTTAACAAAATTATAGTAAAAAAAAAAACAAAATTATAGTCAAATCGAGCGGCTCGACGAGACGAATCCGACAAGCCCAAGATCGCCAAATTCCGACATCACTAAGGCCTTCAAATGTCCAATGAATGGTGCACGATCAAAGGAGTCAATATCGGCCGTCCATTCGACCACTCCCTAGTTGCTCTTGATTTCACACCTATTTACATGCCATGCCACTCCAGAAAAACTATAAATAGAGCCCTCATTCTTCACAAGAAGACTCAAGCAAGAAGAAGAAGTGAAAAAGAAGAGAAGGGGAAGGAGAATCAGCTCCTCATCGACACGCGCCAGAGTTCTTCCCCACGCATGGGAACAACCGTTCTTCGGGATTCTCGGGTATCGAGAGAAGTCGGAATTCTGCATAACTTTGTAACATGAATTTCACTTCAGAGAACTCATTGTAAATCTTGATTGTCCTAACTTGTGGACGAATAGCTTTCTTGTAAATCACCGCAACCTAGTAGGGAACTTTTCAACTGGCTGCGGCCCGTGGTTTTCCCTTTTCAGGATTTTCAAGTAAAAATCCTTGGTTGTTCATTTTCCTTCTTGTTTGTTGTTGAATATTCGTACAACGCTAAGAGTAAAATTAAACTCTTACCGCCGCGATATTCTAGCCGCAACGCAAAATAATATTAATAAAGAAGCTTAAGAAATCTTATAAGCATTTTTTATTTCCTTACATTCTTTTTCTAAAATAAATATTTATTGCCATTAGTTGATAGCATGCAAGTATGTTAAGGACATAGGATCTACAACTATTTTTTATAAACCCAACCAATGGAAAATTGGGTTAAGGGGTCCGATGGCGATGGTTAGGTGGAGGTCCCAAGAAGTGGCAATTAGGGAACAAGGGTTCACTGCAATTGGTACTTGGGTGGAGGCTCAGGTATTCTTCCAAAGCTCAAGGGTATCTTGAGTAACTTAGCTCATGGTTCTAAGCCTCTTTCCAAAAAAAAAATTTGTTATTAAGTGTAGTGTCTTTTAATAAATTTGTGGGTTTGCATGACATTAATATGGAAAAAGGATATGAAGCAAATTTGGAGTGCCTCATACGAATGACTCTTATTGCCCTTCAATAGTTTGCTTTGATAGCTGCCCCAAATATTGCTTCGGTCTCTATTTTTTTCAAAACCCGCAAAACGGCTACAAGTTAAAACAAAGATAAGAGAATACAAAATCGGTTTAAAAAATCTAAAAGCCCTCTAGAATACATCATTTAAAGGGAAAACCTATGAGCCATAAATGTCAAACTAAAGATAGGACAAACAAAAGAAGCTTAAAAAATAGGAAAAATAAAACAAAGGTGAAAATAAGGTTACAATTCACCACAACTATAGAAAGATAATGGAAATAAGTCAAAACACCCAAACAAAATCAAATCAACTATACATTGCCAAAAAGACTTGCATAAGCAACATGCCAGCACAAAACATCTCCCAAAGCCACGAAGAAAACGTCACAAAATAAATCTCTAAGACAAAAAAGAAGCATCACCTTCTTTTTTAGAATTCGACGTCTTTACGTTTTCCACTTTCTTATAAAAACATTCTATTCTTGAGCCAAATCATCCTCAATAAAAATCTTCACCCAATCAGCTGGAGAATTGTCGGCATGTAACCAGTCCACCCCTGCATTCACCTACTATCCCATCGAATGTGACGATATGCAAATCCATCCTTGGAAACAAGGTATAAACTTAGGTGCACAACATTTTTCAAAGTGACTCTTCAAAAAACTTCTTTTATAACAAGGGGATACATCTCCATCTGAAAGAGCACAAAAAAAAGCAGTAGTATCCAAAATAGCACCAGTCTTCACCGCTATCATCCACCCTCAATCCACCCACACCCCTACCATCAAATAATTGATTCAATTTTTTTAAAAAATTTAATAATAATTAAATTTTTCCTTTGCCAAACTACATTTACAAAACCAAACTCTCACTAGCTGGGGTCCATGTTGCCTAACAAATTCAGTAGCCGAAAACTTCTACTGGTTCCAAACTTTGTAAATTTTATTTCATTTTTTGAGAAATTTCATAACAACATCGCAAAAAATAAATATATTTACTGGAATTTAACATATAAAAACACTATATAATTTTTACTTAACTAATTCCTCTAAACTTAAACTCTTATTTGTCCTCAAGCAATTATGTGTACACCTTTAAATAACTTTATAATCCCAAATAAAACTTTGCAATTTAAAATGATTAAAACATAAGAAATCAACTACAAAGTTTCCTAAGAAATCACCTCCACTAACATCCAAATTAAATTTATCAACTACAAATGTAAGTGCAATTTGACTAATGATTTATCATTCAGGAATTGTTTATGTATTAGTTTAAATTTACAAAGTTTGGAATCAGTAGAAGTTTTCGGCTACTGAATTTGTTAGGCAACATGGTGGACCGGTAGTGAGAGTTTGTTTTGTAAAGGTAGTTTGCAAAGGAAAAAGTTTATTTTAAAACTTGTTATAAAGATAAAGGATTTCTTATTTTTATTTTCAAGAATGATAGGGAAATTTTATTTTCTTTTTCTTTATTATTTTTATTTAATATTATTTTTATTTTAATAAATTTAAGGATGCTAATCTGTTTGGTTGAGATGGAGGAAACTGAAATCTAAGAGTCATCTATCCAATGTGTACGCAATAATTAATCCTAATAATTCATATGGTTCAAATCCAGAGAACTCTACTTCATAAAGCTGAAACTATGGTATATATATCAAGTCTACGCAATATCTACGCAATAATTAGGTTTCCTTTGGGACGATTTTTTTACTGTTTTCTAAAACGGAGTTTTAGTACAAAATTTTTTATTTTTTAGATTTTGTAATAAAACTTCGTTTTAGAAAGCAGTGAAAAAATCGTCCCAAACAAAACCTTTAATATGTATGAAAAACTAATCCATCAGCAAAATTTTAATCGCCTCCACAAATGGAAATATATTTAAATGAAAATTTGCATTTTAAGCACTAATTGCTGCAACAGTCACAAATCAGATAAAATTATGAAAATGTCACTTCCTCTCGCGCAAACCTCAACTTAACTCACGACAGATCTTCGCTTCTCCTTCCCTCTACAGCAGATCGAAGCCCGACGCCTCCACCTGCAGCCGATCGAAGCCTCTTCGCGCAAGATCCAAAGCCACATACCCACTCAACCATCTTCCTCTGACCTCCGTCAATTTCTCTTACACTGCGAAGCAATGAAGCCGAACAGGTCGGCTTCTTCGGCTTCCTTCTTCGGCTCATTCATTCTTGTTCGACTTCGCCCCTTCGACAAAGTTCCCTTTGCCTTTCGGATCGATGACAAAGCACTCTAAGCACGGTGTTCGGATCCGACCGGTTCCACCTCCCGGTGGTCGGCGGCATCGAAATCCCCTGCCATTCCGCAATTCCGCCGGCGACATCGGACTCACATGCGGCAATTGTAAAGTCTTCAATAAGTCGTTCCGTCGGCAAGCTCATAAGCCCAATTACCCCTTCTGCAACCTCCGCTGCCCTATCCACCACCTCCTCCGCAAGGACCGCCGCCAGCCCCTCGCCGGAGGCACAGAAAACCCTCTTTATGTTCCTGAAATCATCCATCACCATCTCGTAATCTTCCCTGACAAAAACCCTCTCTGTCCCTCCGGCTAGAAGAACCATGAGAAATATCTCGAATGAGGCCCGCTTCACCTCCTTCACCGACACCGGCTGCGCTCGGTCGGTCAACACCGTGAGCAGCATATTGAGATTCTGCTTAAGAATCCTAAAAAAACGGCCGGATTCACAAACCAGCAACAACGCCCACATAGAGGCTGTGGTAGGAGTTGGCGAAGTCGATGAAGATGTAGGAGTAGAGGTAATGGAGGGTGTTGATCCGAATGTACAGTCGCTGGGTGCCGCGGCTAGTTGATGGCCGGGGAAGGTGCGTTTCGCCGGCCGGTGTGCCGTCAGCTGAAACCAGAGTCGGGCCTCCGCCGCCCATGCTGAGGAGCTTCATATCGCCCTATCCACCACCTCCTCCGCAAGGACCACCGCCAGCCCCTCGCCGGAGGCACAGAAAACCCTCTTTATGTTCCTGAAATCATCCATCACCATCTCGTAATCTGTCCTGACAAAAACCCTCTCTGTCCCTCCGGCTAGAAGAACCATGAGAAACATCTCGAATGAGGCCCCCATCACCTCCTTCACCGACACCGACTACGCTCGGTCGGTCAACATCGTGAGCAGCATATTGAGATTCTGCTTAAGAATCCTAAAAAAAACGGCCAGATTCACAAACCAGCAACACCGCCCACATAAAGGCTGTGGTAGGAGTTGGCGGAGTCGATGAAGATGTAGGAGTAGAGGTACTGGAGGGTGTTGATCCGAATGTACAGTCGCTGGGTGCCGCGGCTAGTTGATGGCCGGGGAAGGTGCGTTTCGTCGGCCGGTGTGCCGTCAGCTGAAACCAGAGTCGGGCCTCCGCCGCCCATGCTGAGGAGCTTCATATCGGCGCCGGGTGTGGACGGCGTGGCTTTCTTTCATAGTTTTGCAAAACTGGAGTCTTGGTTGCAGCGTGTCAATGGCGGCAGTAGCGGCAGGTAGCTTTAATTTATAGCTTTGTGGCTCTAGTATAAATAGACTTTCGGCTGGGGAGGGCTTCTCCCTCCCCAACCTCCCTTGCATGGTTTCGGTCTCATACTCCACTGACTTTCCTCCACTCCCTGGTTCGGGAGGACCTGTTTTCTCTGCTCCTCCTGGACTTAACTTCCTCTCCAACCTTACCAACAAAGATCCTATTGCTTCGAAGTTTTCTCTCTCTTTTGTTCCTCCTGCTCCAAAGATCCCCTTTTCAGCTGGTGAGCTTCAGCTTGGGACGTCCGACTGGAGTTTATCGCTTGTTGGTTACTTTGTTGGTCCGAGGCCAACTTATTTAAGCTTGCAGAATGTGGTCCAGAAAGCATGGAACCCCAAAGGTGCGATCGACTTGCTTTCTTTAAATGATGTATTTTTTCTTTTCAAATTCTCGACGAAGGAAGATTATGACGTAGCTTGGACTGGCGGACCCTGTTTTTTTTTTTCGGGAGACCCTTTATTTTGCAGCAATAGAATCCTAAGTTCATCCCCAAGCGCGATGAGTTCACCTCCATTCCTATCTGGGTAAAGATTGTTGACCTTCCGCTGGCTGTTTGGAATCCTCTGGGCATTTCCAAAATTGCTAGTTTTATTGGCCATCCTTTAGCAGTCGATGCTTTAACTGCTCGAAAAACTCGTCTAACCTTTGCTAGGGTCTGCGTCTTGGTGACAAGCAAATCTACTTTTCCAGACGAAATTCCTATCTCTTTAGACGGTGATGATGTCAACCTTAAAGTCATTTATGACTGGAAACCCACGCCCTGTTCTGGCTGTGGTTCACTTGTTCACCCTCCTAATCTGTCCCAAAAATCCTCAACCGAAAGCGATGATCCCTTTTCAACCCATAGCCAGAAGCAAAAGCAGACCCAGAGGTAGACCTCCTCTCCCTCCCTCTCCTTCCCCTGCTATCCTTCCCAATCCTTCGTCTACCACCACTAATCTTCCTCCAACTACTGCCGACCCTCCTCCTAAAGCCACTTCCGAACAAGAGGAGGACAAGTCGAAAAGCAACCCTCATGTATCTGTCCCAATTCCTAATTTAAACCTTCCCTCCTCTGTTGTCCATGAAGATCCTTCCTCCTCTCTCACTAAGGCTCTTCCTTCCCCCTCGATCACTATTGATCAAGGTGATGAGGAATTCATCTCTATCCCGACCTCTCCAAAAAATAGTCGCAAAACCACTCCAACTCCGTGGATCAAACCCACTGGAAATCTCTCTACCTCACCAAATAAATTTGACCCTCTCCTGTTAGATGACTCAACTGAGTCTACCGAAGACTCAGAACATTCCTCTAGCAACATTATTCCTCTTTCAGACGAACCTCCTGATCCCAAACTGCACAGCCAAAAACAACAAGCTAAAAACCCCAAGACCAAAAGCGCTAAGAAGGCGCAAAAACCACTAAGTCTAAATGAACCCCCCCGCCATTGGTTGCTGGAATGTCCGCGGTTTCAACAGCCCTGAAAAAGTCACTGCTTGCAAAAAATTAATTTCTTCTCACCGCCTTGATTTCCTCTGTATTTTGGAAGCAAAAATTCAACATCATCTTCTTTCTGATGACTAGTTCTGCAATTCACACAAGGTTTTTAATCTGGAAGCTAGCTGCAACAATTTTGACAATTCTGGTCCGAGTTTTATTTGGCTGAAATGGAATCCTTCCGCTGTCACTTTTCAAATGTCTCAATGCTCTACCCAGTTCATCCATGGTATTGTTTCTACTCCTCATTCTGCTTCTTTTGCCTTAACTGCGGTTTATGCTGCCAACTCTTTGGCAGAAAGAATTTCTCTTTGGAAAGAGTTGGCTCAAATTGCGGAGGGGATGGTTTGCCCTTGGGTCATTATGGGTGACTTTAATTGTTTTAAAGATCTGAAAGATAAACAAGGGGGTGCCTCTCCTCACCATAGCCAACTGAATGAATTAAATTCCTAGTTATTTGATTCTGGAACTTTTGAACTTTCATCCACTGGTTTGAATTTCACCTGGTTTAATCAAAGATCTGATGATCCTATCCACATCAAGTTAGACAGAATGATTGTTAACTATGATTGGCTTGTTAAATTCCCCATTTCCTATTATAAAGTCGAACCTCCTGGCTGCTCTGACCACTCTCCCCTTATTCTATATTCGGGCAATCTGCATAAGCCTGCTGGGAGATTCTTATTTAAGAACTACTGGATACATATGGAGGGGTTTTGGGATTGTGTTTTATCTGCTTTCTCTACCCATACTTCTGCTAGCCCTATTGCCAATCTCTATCTGAAGCTAAAAACGTTGAAGAATTGTTTAAAGAAAAGAAATTGGTCCTCTGCCAATTTCTTACAGGATAAGGTTAGGTTGTTGGAGCACAATCAAAGTAGATGTCTGGAACTTTTGCAAAGGGACCCTCTTAACCCTGAACTTAATATCTCTCTTAAAGAAATCAATTCCTCTCTGGGTTTTTACCAGAAAGCTTGGACCAACTGGATAATGCAAAGGGGGAAAGCTAAATGGCTGTCTAATGGTGAGGATGACTTGGGTTATTTATATGCAAGGATTAAATCGAGAGGCAACTCCAACTGTATCAAAGTTATTACTACTGTCGAAGGGGTGTTTACCTATCCCTCTGATATTGCTCGTGCTACTGTTAGCCGTTTTAAAGGGATTTTTAATGCCACTCCTCCCCCCCTCATGAATGGTGAGATCATCTATCCTAAAGGCTCTGTTATTCCTCAAGACCAACAATCCATTCTTATTAACCAGGTGACTAATCAGGAGATCAAAGAGATTATTTTCTCGGGCTCCAAATCCTCTTCCCCTGGGCCCGACGGATATACCTATGAATTTTATAAATCTACTTGGAGCATCACGGGGCACTATGTTTGCCAAGCTGTTAAAATTTTTTTTGAAACTGGATCTTTCCCCAACTCTGTTAAAGCCACGGCAATTGTTCTTATTCCCAAGACTTCCCACGCCTCTCATATCAATGAGTTTAGACCCATCTCCCTTTGCAATACCTTTTACAAAATCATTGCAAAAATTTTGGTGAATAGGATGAAACCTTTTATGCCTAATATCATTCATAACAGCCAGTTTGGGTTCATCAAGGATCGGTTAGCCATTGATAACATTATTTTGGCAATGGAAATTTTGAAAGATTTCAAGAATACTTTTGGGAAAGATTACTTCTGTGCTAAGTTGGATATCAAGAAAACTTTTGATTGCATTTCTACAGATTTTATCATTTCTAGAATGCACGAGAAAGGCTTTCCTCCGAAGTTCATTTCGTGGATCAAAGGTTGTATTTTTTATGTGCCTTTTTTAGTTTGCATTAACGGTGCTCTCCAAGGTTATTTCACTTCTACTTCGGGTTTAAGACAGGGGTGCCCCCTCTCCCCCCTTCTTTTTGCCATTGCTATGGATGCTTTCTCTGGATATCTGGATGGTAATAATTTTGGTGGTTTTCCTTGTTGTAACACCTTTTTTAACCACCTATTATATGCCGATGATGTGCTGGTTTTTGGGTCAGCCACTGTTCATAATGCTCAAGTATTGAATCAAATCCTCAACGACTTTGCTGATACCTCGGGCCTTCACATTAATAGAGAGAAATCCTCTATTATGTTTTCGAGGGAAACCGAATCCACTTCTGAAATTGTTAACATTCTCCATTTCTCCCAAGCAGTTCAAACTTTCAAATACCTTGGGTTACCCATCTCCACTAAAAGCTTTCTATTTCTCACTTCCAACTACTACTGAGTAAACTTTGTACTCTACTTGCTGGTTGGAAAGTTAAATTTCTGTCTTTTGCAGGTAGGATTCAATACTTGAAATTTACGATTGCCAACACGATTGCGTATTGGATTCGGGGAGCTATAATACCTAAAGCTGGTTGTAAAATCATTGATAGAATGTGTGCTAGATTCTTATACCATGGGTCCATTACTGAGAAGAAACTTCATCTGATATCCTGGAAGAAAACTACCATGCCTTACTGCTTGGGGGGTCTTGGCATACCTGACTTAAAATCCATGTACTTTAGGTTTGCTAGCACTTTCCTGTGGAGATTCTACTTATTTAAAACCCCTCTTAATAGCTGGTACAAGTTGAAATTTGATTCTCCTTTTAAACCCATTAGTTCTAAGGCCTCTCATTACTGGAAACTTATTTGCTCTATTGCTCAATCTATTAAGAACTCTCTGAATTTCCATGTTACTGATTCGGACTGCTCCCTGTCTCTCCTTTGGGATCCTTGGGTGAATGGGCAATCTTTGGCTGATCTTAACCTGCATTGTTTTCCGAATAACATGATGGTTTGCAACCTGGTGGCTAATGGCATCTGGGATTTGAGAAATGTTCATGTTCAATTGCAACATATTTTAAATGCTATTCCGATTCAGGTGGGGGGCAATGTGATTTCCTGGACTGGGAAAGGAGTTCCTAATTTCAAAACTTTTTCTAGGAAGTTTTTTGGGGAAATTATTGAAGTCCCTTGGCATAAATATATATGGCATAAACATTTTGCCATCCATTACTCTTCTTACACTTGGTTAGCTATTAATGAGGGGCTTAAAACTGCTGATGTTTTAGCTGCTAGAAGGATTCATATTAACACTCGCTGTTACTTTTGTCATACTGAAGATGAATCCACCTCCCACCTGTTTTTCCAATGCCCGTTCTCTTTCGCTGTCTTACAATCACTGATTCCCGAAGTGAGATGTTTCCTTTTAAGGCCTAATATCCTGCAACTTTTTGAATATTTTGAGGATTTTCAAGTTTTTGGCGCTGCTGAGCGAAATTTCTGCTACCTCTCTATATGCTGTTTGGTTTATTTTCTGTGGAGAGAGAGGAATGATAGGAGGTATGGTGGCATTCATAGCACTGTTTTTGCCGTCAGCCACAAAATTTCCAGGGCCATTTCGGCTAAAGTTTCCAAATGGAAACACGTTGATAGCTTACAAATCACTTTCCCCAACTGTTTTTCTGGGAGATATTACCAACAGGCAGAGAATTTTTGATGTCCCATGGCAATGATGATTTGGTACACTTCCCTGGATGGCCTTCGTCTGTCTCAGATGCTGCTTTTTCCTTGCTGGCTGTTGATCATGTCTGGTACTCCGTTGGCAACCGGGAAGACTTTCGGGCTCCTTTTGGTGTTGAACATTCTGTTCAGCTGGTTTTTTAGATTTCTTGTACCAATTTTGTTTTTCTGAGCCTTCTTGGGACATATTTTGTTTCTTTGCCTTTGGTTGTTTTTGTTGATTACTTTTTCATTGTTCTCTAGTTGCTTTGTAGCTAGATTTTCTTCTTGTAATCATTTGGTTTAATATACGGGCTATGCCCCAAAATTTCCCAAAAAAAAAGACTTTCCAACAGATAAATGCTTTCCAACTTCAAAATCATGACATTTCAAGTCCAAACAATGCAGCCAAACAGTTATTGCATCACAGCTCTACTACTATTTTTTTTTTATTTGCTTTGCAATAAATGAGTCTACATTTATAAATACACTAGTTTTATAAGTACATTAGTTTTAATATCAAAATAAATTATTAAAAAATGTTTTTACTTTATTTTGGATATACCTAACCAAACAAGGGAAATAATTCTCCTGCGTTTATTTTGCAGACAATCGAACAAACTCAAAATATTCGGAATGCACTATATTTACTTTACATTGCATTTACTTTACACTGTATTTCCTTTTCAGACAACCAAATAGCCCCTAAAAGACCATCCAAACTATGTTTTGTTAGAGATGAACGACAAGGATCAATTCCCCACTAATCTTTAATGTTATATTGCTACTGCTAGTGGCTACATCAAGAGCAAAACGTGAGAAAGGCTGTGAAAACCGCCCAAGTCAATTCTCAACCGTTGGATTGCTCATAAATATAATAGAAAGTAGAAACACAACCCAAAATTAAAAAAATCAGGTAAATTTCATTTGAACTGAATTTGAATTATTATATGAATATAGTGTGTGTGCGCGCGGCTTTTTTTTTTTTTGCGAAAAAAGAGAGTATTTTTATTTTTTATATAAGAAATTTATTGAATTATTTTTGTTTTTATTTATTTATTTATTATTATTATTATATATATTTGTTATCTAAATTTGTATTATTATTTAATGTATTTATTTTATACATATTTTATTATTATGTTTTATTAATCTTACTTTTTCTAATTCTTTTAAAAAATTAATTTATTTACGGAAAAAAGAGGGAACCGGAGGATTTATTCCGCCGTAACCCAGATTTACGGGGCGCTCAAATACCGTTTGGCAGCTAAATCCTGCGTAAATCCTGTTGGCAAACAGTCCCTCAGGTAAATTGCTCCATTTTTGCAAAAGAAAATTACGTTTTTTTGAAGTTAGCCGTGAATTCACCATGTATTCCTTCTTCCAGATCTTTCTTTGCCTTTCACTACTTAGGGCACAGAATGAGTTGTATTTTTTTTAGCGGTGGGGGAATTTATAGAAGTCTCTCTGTGTTTGTACTGTTAAACAGCACAATCATTTTAAAATTTTGAAAATCAATACATTACATTTAGGAGTTGGTTCATGTTGCTTGTATGTTTAAACGAACTCATGGTGGAAATAAAATGGCTTAGGATATCTGAATGATTTTTTTTTTGGTAAGGATGTGTCTTAAAATCATTAGATTAATTTTGAGAAGATTGCAATATAATTTTGATTGATTTCGCATGTAAACATCTTTCCTTTCAAAACCTACAGATTCGAAGGTTAGATGGATGCGTAAAGAGTTAGGAAACTGATTGAAGTTGTTGAAGATTTGCATAACGCATTAAACTTGTTATAACTATAAACTTTTTTGTGACCAGGATCGTGACCGCTCGCAGTTCTGCGTGCTGACCCCAGCCCTACGAGCGCGGACGACGCTCCGTACTCGATGACCCGTGGCGTGTGATCCAGGCCCCCGCTCGAAACCAGCGCTCGATCGAGGCGGTCTCCCGTCTTCCGCTGACGTGGTCAGTGGAGGAGACCGCCGCGCGATCAATCGCTAATGATTGCGGCGCGCACATCATTGCCCGCGACCCGGAAGCCAATTCGTACCCGTCCAGTGGGCACCGAGACGCCGCCGTGTTTTAAATAAAATATTATATTTATTTCATACTTTTTTAAACATATTTCTTCAAAAATTATAAAAATTCATTTTTTCGTCCGTTTTTGACGCCACAATACCAATTATCGAATCTTTGATCTCACTTAAAAAAGATATTATATTTTTAACATTAAAGACCCTTTAATTTATTATCTATTTAGTTTGTTTATAGTGTTAATTAGCACTATTATCTAATATAAATATGATATATTATTTATTACTTTATTTAAAGTTATAAATTATTACCCTAATTTTTAGTCTGTATTTAAGTTATTATTTAAAATATACATATTTATTAGAAATTATTATTTATTATATAGTTATTAGTATGTTATTATATTCAGATCTTGTATTTTAGAAATACTATTTTTGCATTATCATATTATCTGTATATTCTTATTATAATTTAATTCATTCTTAAATTATTGTTTTAGAAAACCTTTATGCTTTTGACTTACCAAAAATTCCTAACTTTCCGTCATTTGTCGACTGTCGAGTGCACAGCACCTGTGTTTGGAGGTGTTTATTTTGAATCTGCATATTTAAAACTATTTTCAGATAAAAAGTATGTCTGGTATTTGCTGTTATTCAAAAAACATAGTGAATTGGACAATATTTTGAAAAATACTTTATTTATTAATTTAACTTCGGAATTCGTTATCTTCCGGTTTTAAGTCGGATTTTGACGTTAACCCCTTTATTTTCAGAAAATGCGAGATTTATGTGAACCATTTCAGCTCCTTGATCTTGGCTGTTTTGGCATACAATTTTTTCTTGACAGATATTTGATTATTAAATTATAATTATGATAAGATTATTTCATGATACAAACTATTTTTCAAATCGCTTGAGAGCCTTAGGGTGGTCAGCCATGGTTCCCATACTATTTATTATTGAATTGAATTATTTTCATTATTTATTATTCACAAGTATTCTTATATCTCCATAAGATTTTATAAAACTTTTTAAAACTACTGATAACATATTAATCCTACTTTGGGGAGACCCGCTATCTCATGAAATTTAGTACTGGGCTCTATATGGAAGCAATTCCCATGGGGGATGGGATTTGTGAGTGAATGGTGGTCCCAAGTCATTCATAATCCATTTTCTTTAGTGTCTGTTCTTTTATTTTCGTAGATTAATGTGTAGGTCGCACCACGAGCACTTAGCTTAGGACTCTCTTAGATATTAGAGAACATGGTAGTTGTTATTTTCAATTTTTGTTACTCCAATTGCACTTCATTGATTACCTGAGGGTTAGATTAAACACTCAACTATACAAACCCTACAACGTCAGTTTGACCACCCAAGAGACAAAAATTAAGGAATCTCGTCTAAGCAACCTTAGAGATTTCTCTAGGGACTAGGATAGACAGAATGACCACGAAAACTAACACTTAAACTTAGCTTGACATCTAAACTATCCACTTGAATTTTGTAATTTTTTAGGAGCTTTTAGGCCCCTTAATTCTAACCACAAATTAACCTGCTATATTAAGGCCTCCGAGACTTCCGAAAATATACAATAATCATTACATATAGGTCAGACAAACATTATCCAACATACCTTAAACTTGACTAGAATATTGATCCTTAACCTCAGATAAATAGGAGCTCCCTCAGTTTAAACTCTAGGTTGACCATAATATTTGACCTAGGTGGGAAATTCCCATGTTTGCCACTATAATTCATATAAAAATTAATAAAAAATCCTAAATCTTCTCCAAACCATAGAGGACACTTTTTCTGGTCATCTACCTATTTTGGAGTGTTTCCAATCTCAGTTTGAGGGCTTATTTGGAGCAAACAATAAAAAGGTCTCTTTAGTAGATAATTTAGAATTCTCCATAAATACCTCGATCTTTAGAAAATTCCATAACCTAATTAGGTAAAAAATTCAAAATTAGGTACAAATCATGAGCATTTGAACTCCTATCTACGGAGCTCTAAGTATTTATTAAAAAATTTATAGGTTATTCAGAAACTGGAACGAATTAGAAAGTCAACTTTTCGGTTCAATCCTCTCGTCTAATAGGATAGGGCCCGGAAACTTAGCAATTCATAACTTTGGGCCTAGAAACTCCGATTTCTAGCTTACTACCTGGCTGAACTACTCATTATAAGGTCTAGTATTTTTTATAAGGTGATGGGATCCAATAGGCCTTTTCTCATAGTGACTTTTTGGAGACCCTAGCTAGTTCCTCCAGAAGTGACCCTGAACTTTCAAAAATTGGCTTATTCAACTTAAACTTTTAAATATCAGTACCTTTAAAGTTGATTACTTATCAACGCTACAAGAAACGAAATATTTAAAATGACCCCTATCCAACTGATATATTGAACTTTTACAAATAAAATATCCTTTTCAACCCCCAATCAAATCTGCATTCTAGATAAACTTTAAACCTAAGCTTACCCGTGTTATGACCTATACCAACCATACCAAGCCTTACACACACTAGAACTTGTTTGCTAGGCATCCACTTCTAGATTCTAGGTAGCCGACTGGATGGTTTATTTCTTGCTGTGTGCCGGTAGCGTTTCGTGGATTTTTCATCTGCATCTTGCAGTTTGAAATCTGATCAGATGTGTTTGGCTTACTTTTTGCACTCTGCGGATTGTGATGGAGCGTAGATGTTACCCCGTAGGTATATGGAGCTTATAACTATCCCCATATAATATATACCTGTTCATCTCGGACTGCTAGGTGGCCAATGCTCAGTCTTTAAAGCGGGGGGTGGCTATTATAATTTTCTAATATTATCTTAATGCAGGCTGGCTGTCTCGGCCCTCCCACAATAATCCCTAAATGATACATTTATCATTCTGCACAGGTGGAGTCTTCGGCCACTCGACGGCATAAAGATGATGGCATTGAGACTAGGGTACAG